TGAAGTGTAGCACCTTCCACTTGTTGGATCACAACATTTCCACCTCTTTCTCTGGCTGTCGTATCCCACAAAGATACATCTAACAACTTTCTTGTCAAATTTGCTCCGTAAATGATCAGGAACAAATACATAACATACATAGCCAAATACTCGAAAATAGCTAACTGTAGGTTTCATGTTCCACAGATTCTCAAAGGGAGAAACAAATCCTAACCTTGGTTGAGGAAGTCTGTTAATCACAAAGGCTGCAGTCCTCATTGCTTCAGCCCAAAACCTTCCCGGTACGTTCTTTGCATGTTGCATACTTCGACAGACTTCCGCAAGATGCCGGTTCTTTCTCTCAGCAACACCATTTTGTTGTGGTGTGTTGGCACAAGTGTACTGATGACGTATTCGACATTCCCTTAGGTATTGAGAGAACTCACTTGAGCTATATTCTCCCCCGTTATCTGTGCGCAGGCAACGGATCTTCTTTCCCACTTCTCCTTCGGCTGACTCTCTGAACTCTTTAAACTTTGAGAATGTGTCAGATTTTTCTTTCATAAAGAAGACCCACACATACCTTGAGAAGTCATTAATGAATGTTACCATGTACCGCATACCACCAATGGACGGTTGCTTAACTGGTCCGAACACATCAGAGTGAACTAACTCTAATGGTTCTTTTGCTTTAAACTTCGATTCCTCATATGGCAATTGGTGTGCTTTACCATACTGGCATCCTGCACATACTGTGTCTGTTCGCACGTCCAGTTGAGGAAGCCCCTTAAGCATCGACTTTTTCACCATCACACTTAGCTTGGAATAGCTAACGTGACCTAACCGCATGTGCCATAGATCTGATGTCTCATTTTTCCTTGTCCTGTCTACATATGCAGATTCTGCTGACATTACGTAGACTGACTCCAATCGTCGCCCCTCCATTGTTGGTGTTTCTGAGATTTTGAGGTCACGATACACCTTCACATCTCGTGGACCGAACAAAACATGGTGGCCTAATGATGTCAATTGAGCCACAGATAACAAATTTTTCTTCATTCCTGGGACATGATAAACATCTTGAAGTGGCACCTGGTTAGAATTATATCGAGGCTTAATTATTGTCTTACCGATGTGAGCTATCGGTAACCTTGAGTTGTCGGTTGTCACCACCACACGACCTCCCTTATATTCAGATAGTTTTTGCAGCTTCTGTTTATCACCCGTCATATGATTTGAGCAGCCCGAATCTACGATCCAATCATTTTTGTAGTCAATGCGTTCTGGTGTTGTTACCGTGAGGGCTAATTCTTCTTCTTCCTCCGTAGCGAATAATGTTTCAGCATCCCAGCCATCTTCACTATTCTCCTTCGAACTGGAAGTAGCAGTATTACTTTCAACAGGTTCTTTCTTGGTCCAACAATCTTTCGCCATGTGGCCCATCTTCCCGCAATTGTAACACTTGCCACTAAACTTTTTACTATTACCGCGATTCTTCCAAGCTCCCCCTGGACGAGAGCCTCCATTTCCTTGGTGACTTTGCACCTTTTCTCCATCCTTTTTAGATCCACTACCAGTGTACCGCTTGAAGGTGCCTTTGCTTTTGTTGGTGTAGAGCGCTTCCTCTTCACTCTTCAGTGAGACTCCTCCCATTTGCTTGGCCATAACTTCTTGACCTGCAAGCAAATTTTCAAACTCAACAAGCGATGGTTGTGTCGGCCATCCTTGTATAGCGGCAATGAACCCTCGATATTCGGGTCTCAAACCATGGATAATTATTCTCTTCATCCTGGTTTCCCCAATAGGAGCTGTTGGATCTAATTCTGAAATTTCGCGGCATATCGACTTCACCTTGTGAAAGTACTGGGCAATCGTCATGTCGCGTTGTACCATCGATAGTAGCTCATTCTCGAGAAGTTGCAATTTTGTATCGTTCCTCTTCGAAAAGAGTGTAACAAAAGTGTCTCATGCTTCCTTTGGCGTTTTAGCATCCCGAATGTGCTCCAACATTTCTTCTTCTATTGTGGTCTTTAAAGCAAACATTGATTTGCATGCTTTAATTTTCCACTTCCGCAAGACGCCGTTAGCATCTTCCGCTGCCGGTTGTGTAGCTTCACTACCACCGACAACCTCCCACAAGTCTTGACCTTGAAGGTAAGACTCTATACACGTTGCCCACGTGTTATAGTTTTGGTTGTTGAGCTTCTTGATTCCTCCAACAACTTGAAGATCACCCATCGTATCGGCAAGACTTTGACTACACCGAACAAGCTTGAGTGACTACCGTGCAGAGTAATACACTACTCTCGACACAAAGAAGCTCCCTCTCAAGGTTTGTGATAACCCCAACAATAATCTCAAGAAATCTTTTCTGATGTGGAAGATCAGTCAAAACTGCAACCACAGAGCATACTCGGGATTTCAAGAGACTTTACAACCAATGCTCTACCAAGAACGATCCCTGACCGACTTGGCTCTGATACCAATTGTTGAATAAGAAGAGTATCCAAGATAACTCTAATGATCCAAAAAAAAAAAAAAATAGAGCACACTCTTAAAGAAAGCTCACAAAACAAACTAATTAGCAAAGCTTTTCTTATTTAGCTCTAGGCTTTGTTTTTCCTTGGATGATATACAATGCTTGGGGACTTGGGTATTTATAGCAAACCAAATGAAAGCTACACCACACACTTAATTAAACTAAGATTATTTAGTACCACACAAAACCCAATAGTTGCACCTAATTTTTTCCACTCAACTATACCTAACATTGCAATTGTAAGCAATTACATCATCAAACTAGATATAGACTTGGACTTTAGATTGGGTTGTGGATTACTTATGATTTTGGGCTTGACATTGATTCTCAACAGGAGGTAGCAACCATCGCCTATGTGCCAAATGGGTATGGAATTGTGAGATTACCACAATGGTCAGGGCAGCCAGGCAGTGCCAGCTGAGGCGGAAGGAGAGATTGAGCTGTTGTTGGAGTTGGAGTTCCTAGTAAAATTGTAACTACCACCACCATTACTAAAGAGAGATGCAAAATATGCATCTTTCTATGTAACGCCATATAGTATTAACCAAAAAGGGTCGAGCAGATCCTAGCAGTAGCAGAGAAAATCCAAGCAGGTGACGGATCCAAGAAATTAAGGAACTGCTAATTAAGAAGGTTAGCCTTCTGTAGGAATATATATATATATATATATATATATATATATATATATGGAAGGGATTAAAACGCGTGGTGGAATATTTTGGGTTGGGGGAAAATGTGTCCCTACTCTTAATTGTCTGTTATTGTTTTAGTCCACAATTAGGCTTTGTCCCATTTATTTCAAGGAAATGCACAAGAAAACATCCACCTGACTTAGTATTAGTCATTAGTCGATACGCGTTGCCTTGAGCATGGTTGGCCTTCTGTAGGAATTAATATAAATGGAAGGGATTAAAACGCATGGTGGCATATTTTGTGTTCCTCATCTTGGCTGATTTGTCTGTTATTGTTTTAGGCCACCATTAGGCTTTGTCCGGTTTATTTCCAGGACGAGCACAAGAAAATATCGATCTCACTTAGTACTGAGTTCTAACCAAAAAAAAAAAAAAAAAGACTTAGTACTGAGTCATTAGTCAATAAGCGACGGGAGTGTGCAAAGTCAAGCCAAGTTTATTTAATTATTTAAAGTTAAGTCAAGAAAGATTACTTAATTACGTTAATCAACTTGGAATATACAAATAAATAAAGCGATGTGAATCTATGTATTTACACCTGAAGTGAATTTATTGATTATTTTCTTTCTTTTTTCAATAATGATATTCTTACCATGTTTTTATATCACATTTATATATCACCTTATGTGAAATTTGATGTGGACAACCAAATCATTTAAATTAATCAGAATTTAATTTAAATTAAAAACCATTTAATAAATCAATAATTAAAACAAAAGCTGGAATTAAATGGTGATTGTGGCATAGGAGGAATCTTCTCCTTCCTTCCCCATTCAATCATGTTTCTTCTCCCGTTTCTTCTTCCGCCAGTTCTTTCACACCATATTTTTTCGCTCAAGTTTTTTTTCACGTTAATGCGGACCACCACAATCTCAACTAATTCTCATACGACAAAGGTTCATCGACGCTTCCCTATTTGGATTATTGGTAAGCATTTACCATTATTTTTATGAATTTATATTTTTTTAGTCTGTTTATTCTTCTTCTTTCTTTCGATCTCCATTGGACTATTTACCAAAACCTTTTTGTTCATAGAAAAATGACACTGGGGGTTGAAGATTTAACACTATGAGTCATTAATTAAGGACTTCATCTTGTTCCTACTTATAATCAAATTAAAGGAATCTCAAGTACGTATCATCAGGAAACCTTCATCCCTCACCACAACACCACTAACGTCAACTCTGATCAACACTCGAAGAAGAGTTTATCTTGCTACACAATGGAGATTGAGAGAAAGAAGAAGAAATAAATCTCATGTCGGGGAATTGAAATCCTTGCACCACTCTATCTAAGATGTTGAGACTCTTCCCCTATTCCTTTTAACAATATCAAGATCAACACCGTGCAACACGTCTTTAGATTTCGACAAAGCTCATTTCACATATTGCCATATCAAGCCACATTAAGAAACAAAGTTTTTGCTTTAGCTCTAATGGACTTGTAGTTCAATTGGTTAAGATCATTCAACTCCTGCAATTGAGGTCCCAAGTTCAATTCCGCCTCCCCCATTCGCTTGAATGTAGAAAGAAGAAAACCAAAGTTTAATTTGAGCTCATTATTTTTATTTTTTGCTTATATAACAAAAGCAGGCCAGGTAGAGGATTGGTTAAAGGACAAGTAATTGTAGGATCAATTAGCTAATTGACTGTTGATCTGTCAAGATTAGTTTTCTGTTTCCGTTCATATGTGTGGGAAAAAAATCACCAGTTAATCAGCCAGACATCACCGATATGTGGCCTAAGGATCCGAAGGTTCAAACTGCAGTCTCATTCACTCAAACAGAAGGGTTTAAGAAAAAATGAAAAACCTAAATATATGAAAGTGGAACATTCATTACAATATTTAAAATTTAGAAATATAGGATTATTGTTCACCATGACTTGAAAGGTAAGAGTGGGATTTCATGCATTTGTGATGATGCAGCACCACCATCCACTGCAGGCCCTGTATCAGTTGAGCTTGAAATAACATCCCATGGCTCAACTGATTCAGTCCTCACATATTCAACCTCTTCGTAATTCTTTCCACCATGAGAAGTAGCCTTTCCGGCCATTTGAACCCCGTCCAGCTCTGCCGTGACCTCTCTCATTGTAGGGCGTTTTCGTCCACTTAAATTCAAGCACCTCCTTGCAAGGTTAGCAACTATTGCGATATCTGCTTTAGAACCTCCCTTCACAACTTGAGCATCAAGAATGTCAAACAGACGATCTTCCTGCATCGAAATAATGAAGTATGTAGCAAGACTTCTGCCTTGTTCTTGTGACCGGCTAAAAGAAATTGGTTTTTGTCCCGTTAATAGCTCAACAAGGACCACTCCAAAGCTATACACATCACTTTTTTCCGTAAATTGGCTTGACTGGAAGTATTCCGGGTCCAAGTAACCAAATGTACCATGTACAAGTGTGGTAAGGTGAGTTTGGTCAATGGCAACTGATCTTGAAGTTCCAAAATCGGCAACTTTCGCTCTGTATTTTGCATCCAAGAGTATGTTGGTAGACTTGATGTCCCTGTGATAAATGGGAAAGGCAGCTGAGGCGTGTAAATAGAAAAGGGCTCCTGCAATTTCTGTGGCAATTCGTAAGCGAATTTTCCATGTAAGTGGAAACTCCTCACTCTGCCCATGGATATACTGGGAAAGTGTTCCATTCGGAATAAATTCATAAACCAAAAGCGGAACTTCAGTCTCCAAGCAGCAACCCAATAGTTGAACAACATGTCTGTGGTTGATTTGTGAAAGAATTACAACCTCATTGATGAAAGCTGAAAGTTGGCTTTCATCAATAATTGTGGACTTTTTTACGGCAACAAGTTTACCATCAGCCAACATGCCCTTGTACACAGTACCTTGGCCTCCATGCCCAAGAATTCTATCGACGTTGAAATTGTCGGTAGACTTCTCCAACTCCTTCGACTTGAACAACTTGATTTTCTCCACATTAACTTCACCTGAAGATAATTGTTGCTCTAATACTAAACCACCATTTCGTTTGAAGAAAATTTGCTTGCGTTTTATGTTCTTCCTTTTCTTCAGGACTTTGTGTATCCACCATGCGCTGATAAGCAGTAACAATAGTCCCACGCCCGCACCAAGACCTGCGTAACGTTAAATTGAAGTTTTATAGATTACCATAATTCACTTCCGCATCGGTACCTTCGAGTCCTCTCGGTGTAGGACTCATTTTTTTATTCATTCAATTTTATATTATTTCTTTTAGTGTTCTAGATTAGATATGTGCTTTGAACACATTCATTAAATGCATAAGTGTTTTAATATAGGTGTCTCGTTTTTTGATTTTTTAGACTAAACATACATTTCTTTTGAAAATTTGATCAAACATTTTCCTAAAATTTTGGTTATTAAATCCAGTTTTTCACATAAGTTCAATTTTGTTTAGAATTTTAGTTTTCACATTTCGTTTTTTTTTTCTTTTTCTTTTCCTCTTATCCCTATATTTATGCATTTATTATCCATCTCTATGCATTTTTTTTATTGTTTGTTATAATTTTACTTTTTTTTTTTGGTGAATATAGTAGAATATTTATATAAAAAATTGTTAGAATTTATTATTTAGAAGACCCAACACATATTAAAGATTTGTTTGATTACATAGCTACGTCTAGTTACCTATAATATGGACACAAATAGTTTTATAGTGGATTTGATTTTTTGTATTTCTCGGTACATTTGGAATGTAAATGTACCAAAAGGGTTATCTGATAAAGACATTTGGTTTTATGGTGCACTTGTGATTTCTTGTTCATTTGGTCATTTGGTACATTTGGAATCTAAACGTACCAAAAGGGTTACTTGACAATGGACACATTTGGTTTTATGGTACATTTGAAATTTTGGTACATTTGATTTTTCTGTACATTTGAAATCTAAATGTACCAAAAGGGTTACATAACAATGGGTACATTTGGTTTTATCGTACATTTGAATTTTTGGTACATTTGGTTTCTCGGTACATTTGAAATCTAAACGTACCAAAAGCCGATACTTTTGTTCTCAAATGTACCATAAGTTTTAAGTATATTTTTAATATATCTATACGTGAAAAAATATGTATTGAAGACTTTTTATTGAGACATTTTTAATAGAAAGAGATTTTTTTTTTAAATACTGATAATAAAGTAATGAGGAATTAGTTGATTAATTTTTATTTTATTTTATTAAAAAAATGTCATTTAATGCGTAGAAGGGGTTTGACGAAATTAAATTCCTATATTATTGGCAATTAGTTGCTAAGCTACCTTATGCCTCTATATAAATGCATTTAAATTAATGACATGGAAATTAAATAAATAGAAAATTATTGAGGTGACAATTGATCAAAGCACTTCAATCAAATCTTTAAAAGGAAAGAATGTTTTATCTAACAACAATAAAAATGATGTAGGACAGTCTAATTTTCCCTATTTTAAATTTATAAGTCTTATTTATTCCTTGTAACTAAACGATAAAAGAAATAATTAAAAAAATAAAAGAAGAGTGGACGATTATCATCAAGATGAGTGGGTGGAAAAAGGGAGGAAAAAGGGATCAATCTGGGGAAAATGGGAGCGCAAATGGAAGAAGAGGAATAAATAAAAAAAGAATAAGGGGGAAAATGGAGCAGTCAAAAGACAAAAGGGGGTAAAAGGGAGAGAGAACAGGGAAGAAATTGCGGGACGAATTTGGTATACATTTATGGTTAAGGTTTTTTAGTAGTAGACTTCTACCATGCCCATACCGGGCCATTATCACTGGAGTAAACCAAGAACACCATGAATAAAGTAGTAGACCAAGTCACATGAATAAAGCAATAGAGACCATTTGATTTGGTATTGTCGAATAATATATCTATTTCTATGTTCATTCTGTTACAATGTTGTTGTAGTAGTTTAATCAGATACAATATAAGCTTGCACTTTTTATCGATGGTGTGTCGGTGATACTTAAAATAAAACAAACTAATATTTTAACTATAGTTAACACTAGAAAGTATTTCACGTGTTTATCCAGGATTTTAATCTTTGGTTTACAATTTGAAATTTGTGCTTTTCAAGTTTTTGGCTCAAAAAATTATGCCTAAATGAAATCAGTATTGTTCTATAGTGTATTCGGTATTCATTTCTTCTTAATCATAAATTTAATTAGCTGAATATTAATTACCTTAACGCTTTCCTACGTGTTAACTATCAATTTACAAACTTAACAACCCTTCGCAAACTCACATTTCAACCAACGTTTTTTGACACCATAGAGGACAACTTTAACCTTTGAATTACAACTACATTGATTCTTACAATTACTACATTACCAGGTCAAAAATGAACCATCTGTTATCCCTATATGTTTGTACCTTGCTGTAAATATGATGGATACACATACATATCTGTAAAACTTTTTACAACTTTTATACGTACACTTTTAAAACCTGCAGCAATGTGTGAGAACAAGTACTAGTAATAAACTAACAATCCAAGCAAGAGATTTGTAACTAAGTTCGTACACAAGACCCGAGTTCAACTTTTCCCTCCACCAATATCCATTGTATATGCAAAAACACGCGCCAAAGAAAAAGTAAAATGAAACTAACATATGCATACCTAGTGAAATAATAAGCAGGATACTGAGCTTTGCTCGACCATTGTCCTTGATGCAACTTTTTTTATCCAGATCGACATATTTGTACCCTTTTGGACATAGACAAGAATGACCTCTCGCTGAATTTATGCAGGTTCCATTACCGCAGTAGTCTGGAGCCTTGCACTCATCAATATCTGAACAGAAAAAGAATGAATCAAATCCATGAACAATAGGTGAAAATTAAATTCCACTATTGAGACTTTTTGTAAATTAACAACTCGCTACTAAAAAAAATGCTAAAGGAAACAGTTCATGAACCCACAGATTTGATAATCCACGGCAAATTTAGTAATTGGGTACAATTACTATTAGCTTGTGGGCATTATATCTTCACTGAGCAACAGCATCCGTGGCTAATTGGTGGCTACTTTGGCATCGTCAGCTAAGCTTACATGTTATTTTAATGATAAGGGTCATTTTGATTCTGATTTCTAGTCAACCTAATTGTTATCTTAAAACCTTGTTTATTTATATATTTTGATTGAGGTTCCTAGCACTATTTAAGGGATTTAACTCCTGCTTCTATTACATTATATATGGAAAAAAGTCAAGCAAATTGGAAATTTATTTGTTTAACCATAATTAAAAAAAGTAGACCTACATACATACATATACATATACATACAATATGTTTTGAAGAACGCAAAATGTTTTATGATAATAATCAAATGGTCAAATGCTGTCTAGATTTATTTACCTTGGCAACCACCTGGGAGGTATGGGTTCCCTTCGTAACCTGACCGGCACCGGCATATGTAGCCCCCTGAAGACCGATTATGGCAGTAGCTATTTGCCTTGCATGCAAAAGTGCTCTCGTTTTTAGCTGCAATATCACATGACTCATTCCCAATTACCCAATCAATAATTGCCGGAAGCTGGGTTGTATAGTTTAGTTCTCGAAAACTCGTGCTGTTAAAGTTGAACTCGCCTTCTTGCACAAGGAACGCGTAGCTGCATCGGTGGGAGTCCCGCACATATATATAATTGTCAAAGCTTCCCAAGGTCACAGTCCGATTTTTCAGCCCACTGGGGATTTTAGTTTGGCAACATCCAACGCCAGAGCAAGTATCCCGCTGATCGATAGCGTTGTCAAGATTGTCACATTGGGACATACACCCAGTTTTGTACTCTTCTTCACCCCGGTAACCTTTAAAAAACGCATATGTGTCGCATCCAACTGCAACGAACACGTTTTTGGTTTCGGAGAAGGAGTAAGGAGGAGGCACCGAGAGCACGGGACTGTTCGTTTCGGTCCAGTTGCCATCAGCATCATAACAATCACTGGCTGCGAACTGTTGTATTTGGACCTCACCGTCATAAAGAGATATGCTGGTAATTTCGACATTGCCCCTCATAAAAAATGCTGTTGGCGGTTGAGTGGAAATGTTACAAGTGATTTCAAACCGGCGGTCGAGGTAGCAACCATCGCCTATGCCAAATGGGTATGGAATTGTGAGATTACCACAATGGTCAGGGCAGTCAGGCAGTGCCAGCTGAGTCGGAAGGAGAGATCGAGCTGTTGTTGGAGTTGGAGTTCCTAGTAAAATTGTAACCACCACCACCATTACTAAAGAAAGATGCAAAATATGCATCCTCCTATGTAACGCCATATAGTATTAACTAAAAAGGGACGAGCAGATCCTAGCAATAGCAGAGAAAATCCAAGCAGGTGATGGATCCAAGAAATTAAGGAACTGCTAATGAAGAAGGTTGGCCTTCTGTAGGAATATATTTATATGGAAGGGATTAAAACGCGTGGTGGAATATTTTGGGTTGGGGGAAAATGTGTCCCTACTCTTAATTGTCTGTTATTGTTTTAGTCCACAATTAGGCTTTGTCCCATTTATTTCAAGGAAATGCACAAGAAAACATCCACCTGACTTAGTATTAGTCATTAGTCGATACGCGTTGCCTTGAGCATGGTTGGCCTTCTGTAGGAATTAATATAAACATAAGGGATTAAAACGCATGGTGGCATATTTTGTGTTCCTCATCTTGGCTGATTTATCTGTTATTGTTTTAGTCCACCATTAGGCTTTGTCCGGTTTATTTCCAGGACGAGCACAAGAAAATATCGATCTGACTTGGTACTGAGTTTTGACCAAATTAAATTAAAAAAAAAAAAAAAAGACTTAGTACTGAGTCATTAGTCAATAAGCGACGGGAGTGTGCACAGTCAAGCCAAGTTTATTTAATTATTTAAAGTTAAGTCAAGAAAGATTACTTAATTACCTTAATCAACTTGGAATATACAAATAAGTAAATAAATAAAGCGAAGTGAATCTATGTATTTACACCTGAAGTGAATTTATTGATTATTTTCTTTCTTTTTTCAGTAAGGATACCCTTACTAAGTTTTTATACCACATTTATATACCATCTTATGTGGTATTTGATATGGACAGCCACATCCACTACAAGAAAAATGGGCTAAGAACACAATTGATTTGTGCCCTTCTCATTTTCATTGAGCACAAATACATAATTGTGCTTTATAAGGTCCATTGTACACCCAAATATTTCAATTGTGCCCTCTAACAAAAAAGCACATTAGTTTGTGTCACGTATTTGTGCCTACAAAAGTTTGAACACAAAATTTTGTGTCCAGCTTGCATGTGTCCTTTTAATGTCAGAGATAGATATTATTTTATTAATTTCCAAACACACAATAAAAGGGTTTTGTGCCCTCTAATTTAATATATTTAAATAAATATTATTTTTTTATCCTTTAGATTTACTTTTACTCTACTTAACGCCTCTCTCTCTCAAACTCTCCTTGTCCTTAGCCACCTTCCTTTCCCCCGCCCGTATCCTCTTTCTCCCCCTTTTTCTGCACGCAACAGCACCGCCGTCCTCCGATCACCAACGACCGTCAAATTTTACCTCAAGAATCCTATTTCTGTCCTCTTTCCAACCCCCAAGTTAGTTTCTACAAATTCATAGCCGGATTTCCTCAATTTCATATCTAAGAAATGGTGACCGCGGATTTTTTTGGCCAGTTTTCGGCCAAGCCTGGCAGAATTAGACCTCGATCCTAGAGGTAAAGATGATCATCTCTTAGTGGGTTGTCCTCCAGTGTAAGTTCTTTTCTAAAATAAAAACTTTCAGTTTTGGGTTCCATTTTAGATTTTGAATTTTAATTCCCTTTTCTGTATGCATGTCAAAGTTTACTCGCTTGGAGACTGCTCGGAATTTCAAAGTTTAGTCGCATGTAATATTCTTGTTTTAAATTGGTCATTTAATTTTTAATGTTTATAGCTTATTGTAGTTTGTTTCATCAACTTTTCTGGCATTTTTTGTTTAAGTTTTCTGTTTTGGGTTGCCTAGGAGATGAAGGAAAATAAATAAAATAGAATTCCATGTAGTCACTTTTGTTTCCCCGCGGAAAGAAAGATTGGAAATAGTCGACCAATATCAATCAAGCCAAATTGTTGAATTTAACTTAATTATTTAAGTTCATTTCCATGTCGTATGATTACGGGATATTTCGTTGACTCAGGTGGTTTTCAACTTTTTCTTTCCCTTAATTTGAAATGGCAGTGAGATTAAGATACGATTACAGGATAATTACAGTGTTTTTGTTTTTGTTTTTTTTTATTTTTTATTTTCCAGTTAATGAAAGATGCCAAAAACTCAGTTGGGTTCCCACAATGTAAGGTCCCACGGAGTCAATGAGGCAAAGGTTCATATGCAAGCATCGGGCTTGTGACAGATGGTGTAAGAGGAGGCCTAAACTGTAATCCGGTGTCACTCCGATGGATTGAGTTTTGTGATCTAGCTAAACTACCCATGATCAATCACATGAACAAACAAATCATACAGGTAGTGCAGAAGTTGGTTATCTTCTTCCATTCATTCCTTCATCTACAAAAGATAAATGTGTGAGTTCACTTTACATAAATCTTCCACTCAGGTTTACATATTAAGGCAGTCTTATCAGATTTTAGGCAAAAGTGTGAGTTATCATGTGGTAGGTTTAGATAACTATTAGTACCATAATAAAACTCATCATTTAAGCAAGTGTAAAATTGTAATATCTGATTTACCAAAAAAAGGGCATGATGCTAAATGCCTTAGTTAATGAGAAATTTGTCAATGAAATTCATGAATTGAGAGGAGAGATGTAGAAGATCATAGTGATTAAAAAAAGTCATTGAAATGGTGGGAGACACATTCCATATGCCCCTTGAAAGATGCCTCATTTGCATTATCCTTAAAGCCATTTTTTTCATAAGCTAATTAAAAAAAACAGACTACTAATTGGCAGGATAAAACAACTATTACTCCAAAATCAAATAAATGACACTTCTTTTGCTAAAAAATCAGTTGGGTTCCCACATTGTAAAGTCCCATGGATTCAAGGAGGCAAAGGTTCATATGCATAATTGGCTGATTATGTTGGTTCTTGTCGGGATTGATCTCGATTTGAAATTGATAGAACCGTTTCACCACTTTCTGCTTTTGTAGATTAATTTTGTATTTTTCTTATCCATGAGTTACTTTTACATGTTTAAAATATTTGTAGTTCTACATTTACGTGTAGTGTTTGTTGATTAAAGTTGATGAATTAGATCAATCGTTTTAATTTTTGGTACTATTCATGACTTTGGCAGTGAGAGGTCCAAATACCACACATATCATCCGGATTAGTTCGTTTGTGGAGCAAAGATTGGATGAGATGCAAAACTGGGGAATATAAGCAAGGTTAGATTTCAAAATACTTATTTATTAGACGCTGCTTTGCAGATCCTATAAGGTTTTTAGCATTTGCTATCTTTCTTAGAAATTAATGTCATAACATTGAGATTTATCTCACTGCATTTGACCTAAGCTAAATGATTGTCCAAGCTTGTATTGTTTACATCTTGTTTGCTAGTAATGATGGTTTAGCTGCTCATTTAAGTTGCATGTTTTGTTCGTTGTTATTTAGTATAATAAAGTAGCAATGCGTCAGTGCTTGTGAGTTCTCAATGCCGATTGCAAGTTTTGGTCTCTACTGCACAGTTTGACAGACAAATGATAAACCTAACACATGCATGCTCTGATTTCCTTGGTAGGTCATATTTTTCACTTTCTGGATGTGCAAAGTTTGGATAGTACACATCATCGGGCCAAACCTTTCTCAGGTAAGGAATTACATCGCGTTTGTTGAAAATATTTGCTTCCTTTCCTCTGATGTATGTATACGCATGATGTATGTGTGTGATTTTAGATTGTAATGTATCACAAATTTGTGGCATGAAAATTGATATTTGTAGACTTACCCTTTATTTTTTGGCTGTGATGGGGGAAAGGAAAATAAAATTTCAAAGATTGATACTTTTATGTGATTTCTTGGCTCTTTTTTTCATATGATTTTCATTGTATGTGTGCCAGTGTATGTCTCTTCTTGAAAAATGCATGTTGAAAATGGGAGAATTTTGGACATTGACATGTTTAGAAGTCAGGTTTTCTGAATGAAGATACTCTTATGATTTGTTTGTAATTTGTTTTGCAAATGGGTAGGAATGTCATTCTAAAAGGATATTGGCAGGAGGGGGTGGAATGTCATTCTAAGATATATATATCAGCAAGGGTGTGGAAGCTCACACGCTCAGATTTCAACGCGTTTCGAAGGTGGAAATGACAAGAATGTGCAGTGTGGACCTCCAATTTCTAGTGCTATGATGCATGAGGACTGCCAAAGTGAGAATACTGGTTAGTTGTCATCAAGCAGCCCTTGTAGATGTGTATTTTGTTTATATATTGCTAGTTTAACCATTAGTACGTTTGACTTGGGGATACAAGCTTGGATATGTTATATTTTGTTGTATATAGAGAATCCCGGGTATGTCCAGCATAGGATAACATGTATTTTTTGGTTTAACATTTGGATGGGTTGTATTGTTAGGTTGCATGAATCGGTCTTAGCCGAGAACATGGGTTATGTAATATATTAACTTCACTATTTTAGTGCTAATGTTGATTTATGTTTAGTTTGTAATGGATGATTTGTAAGTTTCTAAATTTAGGTGGAAATTAGGTTCTATGAGCAACCTGATGATTTCCATGTTTAAATAAAAATATCCAATTATGCCACAAATTTTTAATTGTGCTGGAGTTTTATTGTATTTATTAAAATATAATAGTGGCACAATTTTAAAGTTGTGCCCTTGCTTTAACATTTATACAGCAATCTGAGCCTTTAAAATAGCAATTGTGCCCATCTTACACCATACATTCAGTAGCCTTTATTAGAGGTAAGACACAATAAGGGTTGTATTTGTGCTTAGCTTTGGGCACAAAACATCATATTGTGTGCTATAAGTAATGGTGACGCCCATAGAGGGCACAGATACAAACTTAGTTGCTGCACTGTTGCTATTGGTCTATGAGCACAAATGTTGGTGCTTTTTGGCCTCAAAAGGCACATATAATTTTTTGTGTGCAGTGCTCATTTTTTTTGTAGTGATCATTTATATTAATCATAATTCAATTTAAATTAAAAACCATTTAATAAATCAATAATTAAAACAAAAGCTCGAATTACATGGTGATTGTGGCATATGAGGAATCTTCTCCTTCCTTCCCTGTTCAATCATGCTTCTTCTCCCGTTTCTTCTTCCACCAGTCCTTTCACGCCATATTTTTTTCATTCCAGTTTTTTTCACGTTAGTGTGGACTACCACAATCTCAACTAATTCTCATACAGCAAAGGTTCATCGACGCTCCCCTGTTTGGATTATTGGTAAGCATTTACCATTATTTTTCAATGAATTTATATTTTTTTAGTCTGTTTATTCTTCTTCTTTCTTTCGATCTCCATTGGACTATTTACCTAAGCCTTTTTGTTCATAGAAAAATGACATTGGGGGTTGAAGATTTAACACTATGAGTCATTAAGGACTCCATCTTGTTCCTACTTATAATCAAATTAAAGGAATCTCAAGCACGTATCGTCAGGAAACCTTCATCTCTCACCACAACACCATTAACGTCAACTCTGATCAAGACCCGAAGAAGAATTTATCTTGCTACACAATGGAGATTGAGAGAAAGAAGAAGAAATAAACAGACTAAAAAAATTAAATTCATTGAAAAAAAAAATAATAGATGCATACTAATAATCCAGATAAGGGAGTGAAAAAAATATGGCATAAAAGAACTGGCGTGGGAGAAGAAACGAGAGAAGAAGCATGATTGAATGGGGAAAGAAGAAGAAGACTCCTTATAGGCCACAATCACCATTTAATTCCAGCTTTTATTTTAATTATTGATTATTAATTTAAATTAAATTATGATTAATTTAAATGATATGGTTGTCCACATTAAATGCCACATAAGGTGACATATAAATGTAGTATAAAAACATGGTAAGAAAAGCATTACTATTCTTTTTTTTAAGAAACTAGTTGTTGAAAGGGAAATTTTATTTGAACACATATTTTGTATCTCAACATTATTTCCGAAACCGCCTTTACTTATCAAAACTCAACTCAATCAAACTTCTTTTTACGCCCAACTCAATCTACTTAAAAATAAAACCTTAACCAGTCCATCATCTCCATGGAGCAAATACCCTTCTCTCTCTCTCTCTTTAAAAAAAATCCTTCCATCTCCCATGGTTGTCATTTTGCACCCCCATCTACTCTTTCGTAGTCATCCAAACCTCTTCCTCTTCCTCTTCCTTTTCTTCATCATTTGACATCTCTAAATTTCTAGAGCACTAATTAGCTTAATAATCGGTATGAGCTTTTGGTTAGAGTGTTTAATGAGTTTGATAAGTTTTTATTAAATGAGAATCTTCTAGCCTCTATATTCATATAAGTGGTAGAAAAATGTGTACTTCCATGAGAAAATTTTGTAGATTGATGAATATTTTCAATCTGGATATTTATTAGATACCAGAAATTATAAGTCTATTTGCGAAAGTCTAAGTCAATGCCACGTACAATATTTGTTAAGACATATTTAGGAAACTGTTATTAGCACTCTAAAAATCTCATTTTACACTCCGCATAAATGTATTTTTCTTTCTAATTATAAAAAATTTGGAGTGACAAATGAGATTTTTGAAATGCTAATAACAATTTTCTATATTTATATACATTTTATTTTAGTTTGGAAGTCGGCTTCCTTTTTTCTTTTTTTTTTTTCTTTCTTTATCAAGTTGGAAGTATCAACTGTGACACTGTGCAACTAGTTGTTGATTCGTTTTGAATAATCAATATTATTTCTTACAATGTCTTGGTGTATGAACAATAGAAAAAAAAGGGTCATGATACAAGCTAAATAGTAGTAATACTAATTAGTAAACAACTTGTGCATGATGTTTGCTTATAACCAAATGGCATGAAGGGACAAATGTATAGGTTTCATGCATGACTTGGAATAGTATTAGTCAATGCATGATGTTTGCTTATTAGTAAATGCATTATGTATGCATATAACCAAGTGGCATGAAGGGATGAAGGGACAAATGTATAGGTTTCATGCATGACTTAGAATAGTATTGGTAAATGCATGATGTTTGCTTATTAGTAAATGCATTATGTTTGCGTATAACCAAGTGGCATAAAGGGACAAATGTGTTGGTTTCATGCATGATTTGGAATAATATTAGTAAATGCATGATGTTTGATTATAACCAAGTGGCATGAAGGGACAAATGTGTATGTTTCATGCATGACTTGGAATAATATTACTCGTCGGGAGATTTTGCATCAATTTGTTTTTGTTTTTAATATGCATATATTAAGTTCTATTTTAATGGGATTGCTCACCACCCCTAAGTTGTGATAATGCCTTTATTTATCGTTCTTATGTGATTTTAATTAAATTTTGAGATTGTGTTTATCCACTACATACATTTCGAAATTTTTTTTTTAGTCGAGCGAGAGCATTAGTAAGTTAGATGTTAGATTAGTCACCCATAGAATTCGAAACTACACCATTGTGTAAGAACCCACACCGTCATTTAATTGAAATATACCAAATTCATTAAACACTTTAACCAGAAGCATATTTAATTGAAAAGAAAAAAGAATCAATACGTAAAAATTGAACCAATCGATTGAACACATACCAATTATTAAGCTAATTAGTGCTCTAGAAATTTAGAGATGTCAAATGATGAAGAAAAGGAAGAGGAAGAGGTTTAGACGACCACGGAGGAGTAGACGGGGGTGCAGAATGACAACTATGGGAGATGGAGAAGGGGCTTTGCTCCATGGAGATGATGGATTGGTTAGGGTTTTATTTTTTTATTTTGAAGTAGATTGAATTGGGTGTAAAAAGAAGTTTGATTGAGTTGAGTTTTGATAAGTAAGGGCGGTTTCGAAAATAGCATTGGGTGATAAATCAAATACAATGTGAGCATAAAAAATAAGCTGGGTGTTGAGATACAAAATATGAGTTCAAATAAAATTTCCCTATTTGAAATACTTTTGTGAGGGCTACATAGTCTTTATATTTTGAGTAAAAACAAGAAAGAAAAGATAAGAACTTATCAAAGTTTTATTGGTTTATGAAAAAATGAAATTGTGGATATTGTTTTCTTGGTTTCTAGAAATGTATAGAAGGTTGATAAGGTCTTTGTACTACGATCTAACTTTTCCTTCTTGTTTTTAATCTTAAAACACAGACTTACACCGCCTTCAGAGAGATGTTTCAGTGTGATCGGAACATGGAATGATACATCACTTGTGACTATACTAATGTTATGATATGTGTATTAAAAAGTTAATAACTGAAAAAATAAAAAATTTCACCACTTGCATAAAAACACTTGATGTACCCCTTGTGTTCTCGTGATAATGAAAAATTTCCCCTCACAGTAAGAAGTTTAATAAATCATTACTCAAGTCTAAAGTAAGAAATCCAATTGCACTGTTCAACTGAACACTGAATTTGGCCTGATTTCACTTTATTTACAAAATTGCCACCGCCCTTTCTTTTTGATATATTTACGTCTATGCCATTGGGTAAATTTCGTTACATTTACGGTTTTACCATCACCTTAAAACCGATTTTGAGCGTTTGGGCTGCATCTGGGCTTTTGGCTTTCGGCTTTTGCTTTTGCTTCGGCTTCGGCTTCGGCTTCAGTAGGCCTGTTGTTGTTGGGGAAGGGGGATAGAAGCACTGACTGATTGGAGAGAGACGACGTTTGGGCTGCATCTGGGCTTTCGGCTTCGGCTTCAGTAGGCCTGTTGTTGTTGGGGAAGGGGGATAGAAGCACTGACTGATTGGAGAGAGACGACGTTTGGGCTGCATCTGGGCTTTCGGCTTCGGCTTCGGTAGGCCTGTTGTTGTTGGGGAAGGGGGGTAGAAGGACTGACAGATTGGAGAGAGACGAGAGCTGCGAATGGACAGCGGCCCTGCTTGCTGAGAGAGAGAGAGTAGGGATGAAATTGCACTGTGCGAATGGACAGCGTTTTGGACTCTCTCTACCGGTGCTCTTGATGCACACGTGTTGATAATCGTGGAAGGGGAAGAAGGGATGGAAAAGCCGGCCTTTTCCATTTCCTTCTCAAACCCTCATTTCTTACTGAAATCCGAAGAGAGAGAGATATGGCGGGATTTCGATGGCTACGAGATTCAGGGATTTGCAGAGAGAGATGGGGCAAGGGTGTCCGTTATGGGAGGATTTCTGCGATTGCGCTTGGGCGGTGGGTGGCTGGTGTTGGTGTCATTCCGAGTGGTTGAGGAGAGGGTTTGCATGTAGACAGAGTCACAGGGGGCTGTACGGTTCGAGGGAGAGAAAGAGAGGGGATTGAGCGATGATGCTCTCTTTGGGGAGAGAGAGGGAGAGCGCGATTTGGAGTTTAGGTGAAAACAAAGCGGCTTCGAACCGAAGCTGACGGCGGGAGAGAGGGCGGGTTGTTGCATCCGTGTTATTCAGAGTGGGTTTTGAGAGAGTGAGAGTGCTGCGTTCTAAGGTTTGACAGTGGGTTTCGAGAAAGTGAGGGGCTGCGTTATAGGGTTTGGGGAGAGAGAGGGCGGGTTGTTTGCAGGCTTCCACCAGAACTGGGTCCGGAAGCTGGGTTATGTCTTCCCCGATCCGATAGTATGTATTTTTTTTCTTCTTTTTTCTAAAGATTTTTTTGCTAATATTTTACAGTATATATGTTCAGTGACTTTCTGAAGAGTAAAAACGTTTTAGATTTGAATATGCAGCAACTGATGCTCCAGGAGGATTCCTCTTCAATAGTGGTGCTCTGTCTTTGCATCTGAGTATATTTGTACCGTAAAAATGTTAAGGTCTGGGTCTGGTTCTTCCAATTCCAGCGAGCTATTTCTGTACAAACGCCGGCGCACCGTGTACCGTGCCGTTGACCACAATCCTCTCTGTTTTAGCTCCAGAGTTTGAGAATTTGAGAGGCTTTAATATAATTTATAAATATATGGATTTTTTTGAAATTTAATTGATTGGTCTAGCTTTCATATAAAATTTTGATTTAATTATTTCGAAATCTCATAAGAAGGATGAAATTTTAGATGCTTAAAATATATTACGAAATCTCCCAATTTCTTTCTAATTCCTTAACTTTATCAAATTCTTTAAAATCAATTTCTAATTAAATATACGAACGTTATAAACTTCTTTAAAATTCCAATTGAATATATTTAGATTTCTAAGGATTTTAATAAATTATCTTAAAATCTAAGTGTAAATAACTTGAATTTAATAACTTCAAATCTTAATTAAAGACTCTAGATTCATTAAAAGAATTAAAATTCTTCAAAATTCCAATTGAATTGGGATCACAGGCTTTTGAATTAGGTTTCGAATATGATTTACAAATCGGGGATTTGGAGATTAATTTTTTATTAGGGTTTTAATTGAGTAGGTAGGTAGGAGATTGCATCAGAATTTGCGATTTGGGATATTTGATGTGTGTTTTTTTTTGTTATTCTGTTAAAATGTCGGAGAAAATGTCACGACTGAGATCGGCGGTGAGCAAGGCGGTGGAGTTTGGCAACATGACCAACCTCACCCGCACCGTCAGGAACTAAGCCGAATCCGTCGTCCAGAGCCGGCGCAGAGGGCGCTAAACGGTTCCAGGACCGAATGGTAATTTCACAATTTCCAACATTCTTTCACATTTTCCGCCATTTTTTTCCCATTGGCATTTGTTTACAGGGAGGTCGGAGCTAACTTTGCCAGACGACTTTTGGAAACCAACCCCACCATTGAAAACCATGCAAAGACTGCAAGACAAATCCTGCAAGCTGCCGAAAAGAACATGACTGATGCAACCCAGCTAAACTGTGATTTCAGAAACCCATTTGTGGTCTGTGGGGCAACATACGTGCCTATTTACCGTGGACAGAAGGATGTGTCATGCCCATATTGCAGTTCTCGGTTTGTTCCGGACCAGGAAGGAAAGCTCTGTACTGTTTGTGATCTTTCAGCGGTTGGATCAGATGCGTCTCGTTTGCTCTGTTCTTCTACCCAGATCAGGTGATCTCCTGCTGCTCAAGTGGGAGCAATTTTTTTAACCTTCAAGTACGACAACGGATATGTTAGTTTTCTCATCTCCTTGAGCAGGGTTTCTATGTTAAAGAATGCGATTTAATTAGGTTGTGCTTCTCTTGTATTTCTATTTCAAATTTTGTTTCAAGGTTCGTGATCAAGATTTTCGATGTAATGAACAGGTTGAGCATTTTGGTCCAGCTGATTCTTGTGACTTTCGAGAATAAACAAATTACAATAAGTTGGCAAATTAGTTGCTTTTCCTGAGATTTGTAGCTGAAATTTCATATATTGTAGACACCATTTTCGTGTTAAAACTCGTTTTTGAATATCTTGTGTTTGAAATGTATGTCTTTTCTCGTGTGTCTGAGGAGCTTTCTGCTAATTATATTCCAAGATGTACAGTACTGAGAAACGATGGATTATCGGCTATTGAGAAGTTGATGGAATCTCGGACATCATCTTCTCGCATTAACATTTCGATTTCCACGTTTTCGTACAAGCTAGTCGCACCAATAGTTATGCTAGTACTAGAACAACATTGGGTCTGGGTGGGTGTGGGTTGGTTTGGGTTGGTTTTGGGCCAAAATTGAAACCAAACCGATCTAGTTGGTTGGGCTAAAATTGCAAATTGAAACTGACAAATTTGGGTCAAAAATCGATCAGGTCGGTTAACTTATAGTGGCGGGTTGATTTGGATCAGTTCTCGGTTTGTGTGAAGAGGAAAATATATAACAAATTCCTCTCTTAAAAGCTACAGATTGTAGCACCAATACGAGTGATTACCTAAAAGAAAGCACAAATGAAGCAACCCAAAGAGAGCAACAAAGCAGCAGTTGTTGCCTTCTCAAAAGGGAAATTTTATTTGAACCCATGTAACCTCTTTTTACACCCAACTTAAATTTAAATTGTTAATTGTCTATTTTACCCTATTGCATAATTACTATTAAGTACAAAATGAAATTAATAATAAAACTCAAATTTATCAATAAACCCATTAAACCCTACCATCACTTTTTGTTTATCCTACGTTCATTCTGGCTAAAACCCTAATAGGTCTTATAGAGAAAAATAAGTTGACGTAGAACATTTAGCAGAGAAATTTGAAGCACAGCTTGATAGACGCGGGGTGTAAACCAATAGGTCATGAGTTACACACTATGATTTAAATAGCATTCAATATATATGATTAATCTGGTGTTACAAGTAGAATATATAGGCAATGTAAGTGTTGCTCTAAGTTTCATCTTTTGTATTCCAGATTAATCAATATAGTCTTTGAGAATTCTCTCACTTTTTTTTGGTGGATTCCAGATGAATCATTAAGGGTGAACGTGATAATCCCCTTGTTTATCTTCTTGCTGCGTCAGTTGGCATCAGAACAGGTTTGCCTTGGCTCGATGGCGAATAACCCGACGAATTATAGGACCTATCCTGGTGGGGAACCAGATTCCAGGAGAGAGTTTGATGCTCTTGCTGCAAGCATTGAAGAAAGAGAATCAAGTTTTCTTGCTGCAAGCTGCCGAAAAGAACATGACTGATGCAACCCAGCTAAACTATGATTTCAGAAACCCATTTGTGGTTTGCGGGGCAACATATGTGCCTATTTACCGTGGACAGAAGGATGTGTCATGCCCATACTGCAGTTCTCGGTTTGTTCCGGACCAGGAAGGGAAGCTCTGTACTGTTTGTGATCTTTCAGTGGTTGGATCAGATGCATCTGGTTTGCTCTGTTCTCCTACCCAGATAAGATGATCTCCTGCTGCTCAAGTGGGAGCAATTTTTCCAACCTTCAAATCCGACAACGGTTATGTTAGTTTTCTCATCTCCTTGAGCAGGGTTTCTATGTTAAAGAACGCAATTTGATTAGGTTGTGTGCTTCTCTTGTATTTCTATTTCAAATTTTATGTCAAGGTACGTGATCGTGATTTCGCTCTAATGAACAGGTTGAGCGTTTTGGTCTAGGCGATTCTTGTGACTTTTGAAAATAAACAAATTAGATCGAGTTGGTAAATTACTTGCTTTTCCTGAGATTTGCTACTTTGAAATCTCATATATTGTAGACACCATTTTCGTGTTAAAACTCGTTTTAAAAATTCCATCCGAGAAATGTCAATCTGCCTGGATTTTGAATATGTTGTGTATGGAATGTATTTCATTTCTTGTGTGCCTGAGTAACTTTCTGCTAATTACATTCACATCTTGGTGTATGATTGGCATGGAGGTGGAGTGCAAGTACGCCAGTGCTCCGGCTGCGATCTTCGGTCGTAACTCCCTTGAAAGCGATGATTCTTTGCTCTTTATGCTATGAAGATTATCAAGGAGTTCCCCTGGTGATGAACTCATAAACTAGTAATGGCACCGGTGTCTCGAAACAGCAACCCAATATCTTCACAACATTTGGGTTGAAGCTCCGATTTTCGACTTTTCTATGGCAACCACTGCATTAAGTTCTTCTGCTCTAATGGTAGTTGTCTCTGGCCTTCTCAAGTCCTTCTGCTGTAAAGATTGTTGTTGTCTTCATCGATCCCTCCTCGTTGACTCGCGAGTCGTTGTTGTAACAAGAAGCCACCATTTCCTTTGAAATACTTTGGTACCAGATAATTAAAAAAAAACACTTAAAAATCTAAGGAAAAAAAAGTTCTCTTTTGCGCCCAACTGTTATTGCCCTTACCTATTACTTCACTGACTTTAGTAGTTGATGTACAGGGATTTTTTTTCTTCCTATAACTTTATTTTTTGAAATATTTCTCACTAACATGTTAACAATTAATTATCATACGCACTAATTAAGTACGGAATGCCATAAGCATGTAACTCGGGATCTTCCAAACTCATACTTATTTTGAAGAAGAAATTAGCTATAGTTTTTGGTGTTGGGCCACTTTTTACGTGCAAGGGTTGGGATCTTCATCACCTAATTCTCTGATACGTACCTAAATAAAAACTGTCAAAATGATGAATAATAATATTTTATTTTATACAAGAGATACTATACTTTCAACTAAATCTAAATTATAGCAAAAGAAAATTTCAAACTCGAGGGTACAGAGGAAGCACATCGGCTCTAGCCAATGTGGCTACACTTACAGTCTGTGATGAAAAATAGCACTATTTCACTATGGCTAGAATGATAAACAATGCTGAGTTGATTATATGAAGCAGTGAATTATCTTCCATCATCATATGGAATTAACAGCTGGATCTGCATGCTGTCATACCCAATAGTTGTACCAGTACTAGAACCACAATCAGCTCTAACATCCACAGGATAAGCAACTGAGTTACCTGGCCCAAGTAAGCACTCAGTCTCTTCTGAACAAATTTCAGCTTTTCCCCATGCATGCTTTTCTGTAATTCTCATTCCTTCCAGCTCCATGGCAACTTCTTTCATTGTTGGCCTGTCCTCCCCTTTTGACCTTACACATCTTTTTGCCAGATTGGCCACTGTTTTTAGTGTCTCGATGTTTCTCTCGTTGAGTATGTCACCATCGAGAATTTCATTCAGGCGATCCTCCTCCATTAAACAAACAAAGAACCTTGCTAGGCTTCTCTCTGCCCCAGGCCTGTCAGAATCAAGTGCCGGTTTACTTGTTAGTAGCTCCATAAGGACAACTCCAAAGCTATAGACGTCACTCTTATCTGTTAGTTGACTCGTGAGGAAGTATTCAGGGTCTAAGTATCCGACTGTTCCTTGCACTAAAGTTGCAAGTTGGGCTTGATCAAGAGGAATCAATCGTGAAGCTCCAAAGTCTGACACTTTTGCCGTGTAATTTTCATCTAACAATATATTTGACGCTTTCACATCTCGATGTATGATTTGCATCAGAGCTGAGGAGTGCAAGTATGCTAGTGCTCCAGCAGTTTCAGCTGCTATCTTGAGTCGTAATTCCAATGAAAATGATGATCCTTTCGTCTTTTTGCCACGTATGTGCTCACAGAGAGTGCCGTGAGCGACAAACTCGTAAACTAGTAGAGGAACTTCTAACTCCAAACAACAACCCAATAACCTCACCACATTTCTATGGTTGATTTGAGAAAGAACAATCAACTCATTGACAAACTGCTCCTTCTGCGTTGGGACACAAACTTTAGACTTTTTTATGGCAACCACTTTATTGTTATCTGCTGCTAATATTCCTTTGTAAACTATTCCATAGCCTCCTTCACCAAGGATTCTACTTTCATGGTAATTGTTTGTTGCCTTCTCAAGTTCTTCTGCCGTGAAAATTTTTGTTGTCTCCACAGTGCCTCCTTGACTAGCGATTTTTTGTTGTAACAATAAGCCACCATTTTCTTTAAAGTATTTTTCTTTGAGTTTGAGGAACTTTCTTCTCTGCATTCCCCAATATATCCAAGAAGATCCACTTAGTAAAAGCAAGAAGCCTCCACTGGCACCTGAAAAGATGATTGCAAACTTACAAGAAATTATACAGAGCAAATCATCAATGTATTAATCTTGTTTTTGTCGTCTGGCTAGTGCTTTTCTTGTTTAGAACAAATTAGGTTTTGGACAGACAAAGTGATCTTTTGTGACAAAAAATGACATATACTACACAATGAGAATATTTACTCATTTGGTACATGCATGGATCTTTCTAAGAATATGTATGTAAGTATTAGTCATTCTTTGGGCAAGATAGACTCTTATTATATTTGTTAACAAGGATCCGATATCAGTTTTAATATCATGTCAATAACAAAGTGTACATACCAATTTCGATTGGTACATTATTAACAATATTGATTTGAAAATATGTCTTCCAGAGAGCACTTCTAATATATGTTTGAAAGTTTTGGATCTAAAAATGGTCGAGTAAACAAAATTTGAGTGCAATTGTTCAAAGAAAAATTAGCACGTTTAGAATTTTAGACTAGGATTATATGATATGATAGATAATAAACTAAGGGTAAAGTACAAAAAACTACCTTAACTATTGGGATCAAGACAGTTTCATACCTCATCTTTTTAAATTGACAATGTCATACCGCATCTTTCGAATTTGTGATAATGTCATACCTCCATCAATTTTTCTGTTAGTTTATCTGTTAAGTGTTGACGTGGCAAGAGACTCTGACCACTTTCTATTAAAAAATTAATAAAATATTATTAAAAACTAAAAAAAATATTTATTATTTTTTAAATATTAAAATAATAAATAAAAGTAAATTAAAAATTAAAAAAAAAAAAAAAAACCTTAGTCGTCCCTTCCCTTCCCTCCCCCTCTCTCTCTTCCTCATCTTCATATTCTTCTGCTTAATCTTTAACACAAAAAAAAAAAAAAAATTGAAAACCCAACCCCACCCGTCCCTAGGAGAAGGAGGAAGAACTGAAGAAGAAGAAGGAGGAAGAAGAAGAGGAGGAGGAAAAAATAAAAATAAAAATTTGAAAACCCAACCCCACTCGGCACCCCCCCCCAGGAGAAGGAGGAAGAACCGAAGAAGAAGAAGAAGAAGGAGGAAGAAAAGGAGGAGGAAAAAAAAAATGGAAATTGCAACCCAAGAAAAAAAAAAAAAAAAAAACCCAGAAGAAGGAGGAAGAAAAAGGAGGAGGAGAAGGAGAAGAAGAAGGAGAGGGGAAAGGGGATGCCGCACTTCTAGGAAATTAATTTTGTTTTGTTTTTTTATTCTTAATTTTTTTAATATTTAATTATTTTTTAATCCAGCTGGATTAGTGAGTGGTTTCTGTTTCTTGTCACGTCAGCACTTAACAGAAAAATTGACAGAGGTATGATATTGTCACAAATTCGTAAGATGAGGTATGACATTGTCAATTTTAAAAAATGAAGTATGAAACTATCGTAATCCTAACAGTTAATATAGTTTTTTGTACTTTACCCATAAACTAGCAACCCAATAAGAGATTTGTAACTAAGTCTGCACACAAGATCCGAGTTCAACTTTTTTCTCCACCAATATCCTTTGTATATATAAAAACACGCGCCTAAGGAAAAAGTAAAATAATTACCTAGTGAAATCATAAGCAGGAGACTGAGCTTTGCTCGACCGTTGTCCTTGATGCAACTTTTTTTATCCATATCGTCATTTTTGTACCCTTTCGGACATTCACAAGTATAATTTCCCGCTGTATTTATGCAGGTTCCAATACTGCAGGAGTCTGAAGCCTTGCATTCATCAATATCTGATAAGAAAAAGAATGAATTAAATCCATGAACAAAAGGTAAAACTAAAATCCCACTTTTGAGACTTTTTGTAAACAACTCAGTACTATAAAATGCCCAAAGGAAACAGTACATGTACCCACAGACTTGACAATCCACTGCAAATTTAGTAATTGGGTGCAATTACTGGGAAAATGATCCTCTCCGGAAACCTGTTTACCTGAGCTTATTGAACAAAAAATTCGAACTCTTGAAATTTGATCCAACAGTTTAAATTATTATAATTTTTAATGGAGCCTTTTGTTTTTAACCTTTGAATTAAATTTCAACAACTTGAATTTCGTGCTTAGTTGGCTCAGGTGAAGGGATTCCCAATTACTGTTAGCTTGTGGGCACTATCTTCACAGAGCAACAGCATCCGTGCCTAGTTGGCGGCTACTTGGCATGGCCAGCTAAGCTTACATATGATTTTAAAGGTTATTTTTGGGTTCAGTCTCTAGTTAATTTAATTGTTAGATTGAAACTTTGTTTAATTAAATATTTTGATCGAGGTTCCTAGTATCATTTAAGAAATTTAACTCATGTATTTGTGTATCCAATATCCCACAAATTATGATATTTAAACAAACGCAAATAATACTTTTACAATAATTACTTAAAAATCAATAATAAAGTAATATTGTTCTTCACATAGTTATACCAAAAAAAAATTTAATGAACCCATGTAATTATTAATATATTCTAAGAAATAACTACTGATATAATTTAAAGTATAAAATAAATAAATGTTATTAGCATGGGTACATTTACTACAAAAATATGGGTCCATATTAAAATTTAAAATTATGGGTACAAATTAAAGTTAAAAATAATAATGGTACAAATTTTAAAAATGAGTACAAATAAAAAAATGAAAAATACTGAAAAGATATATTTGGAAATGATTAATAAATTTTTTATTCTCAAAATTGACATATGATGATATGTGAATAATTTGATATTCAAATAATGACAAGGACAAAAGTCAAAAGACCTTGTCAAAAATGAAAAAAAAAAATTTAATTGATGAGAAAGAAAAATGAGAAATTTAAACTTAGTTTATTCTTATTTTAATGTTTTGAAACCACTGTAACAAAAATTGGTCATCTAGATTATTACGGCATAGTGCATTCTTTTTCTATTTACCACGAACAATTTTTCTTTACTAATATTATAGTCACCCCAACAAAAGTGGCAAATTTTTTTTTTGACAAGAAACGATAGCAGTATTTCCTTGATCATCATAAACAAATACAAATGTGCCAATTGGTACAATGCTTTAGTGATCAACATATTGATTTGGATTTGCACAAACAAGTGATTAATTAAAAACCCTACACATCTACCACAACAACAGGTGCACCAACACAAATTTGTCACAAGAATGATATATGCAACAAACTTATACCAGTCCACAGACCGATTTTCGCTGATGAGTGATGCCACATAATGTCATCACTAGAGAGCGAGACCACATAAAATCATCGCTGAAAAACAAAACCACAAAATCATTGCTTGAAGGCAATACCACATCAAGCCGTTGCACAAAGGCGGACCATATATCCCCCAAACACGGCACAAACAAAAGTGGCAATTATTTGCTAACTAATGCTGTTTTTTTACTACTAGTACTTTGCAACATATAATAAGATATAAAGGGATCAAAAGTGTTCTGAATCCCTCAACGCAACCCCCCCATGAGCCTAACAATATGGAAGAGGATCCCCTTCGGATTCATTTTATGAGAATTTTAGAGATCCTCACATTTTAATCATTTATCGTATATCGTGTGGTTAGTTTTCGTCAAGTATTATTTGTGTTTAATTTTAAATAATAAAAAAGTCAAATTATTTTTTACCGTACGATGCACGATGAATTGTTAAGATGTGAGGATCTCTAGGATCCCCACAATTTGAACCCGGATGGGTCCAAATCCTAACAATACAATCATATATGCAAGAAAGTCAAGCAAATTGAAAATTTATTTGTTTAAACTATAATCAAATAAGTAGATTTAAACTATAATCAAATAAGTAGACCTACCTACATACATACACACGTACACATACGTACACACGTACACACACACATACACACGTACACAGACACACATGTACACACACGTACACGCATACACACATACACATGTACACGCATACACACATACACACGTGCATGCATACATACATACATATAATATGTTTTGATATACGCAAAATTGTTTATAATAATAATATTCAAATGGTCAAATGGTCTCTAGATTTATTTACCTTGGCAACCATCCGGGAGGTATGGGTTCCCTTCGTAACCTGGCAGGCACCGGCATATGGAGCCTGAAGTCCGATTATGGCAGAAGCTATTTGCCTTGCATGCAAAAGTGCTCTCGTTTTTAGCTGCAGTATTACATAACTCAGTCCCATTCTCAATTTTCCAATCAAGAATTTCCCGAACCTGGGCTTTCTTGTTTAGTTCTCGAAGACTTGTATTTTTAAAGTTGAACTCGCCTTCTTGCACAAGGAACGCGTAGCTGCATCGGTTGATGTCTCGCACTTTCGTATAATTGTAAAAGCTTCCCAAGGTCACAGTCTGATTTTTCAGCCCACCGGGGATTTTAGTTTGGCAACATCCAACGCCAGAGCAAGCATCCCGCTGATCGATAGCGTTGCCAAGATTGTCACATATGGACATACACCCAGTTGTGTACTTTTCTTCACCCCGATAACCTTTAAAAAACGCATATGTGTCGCATCCAACTGCAACGAACACGTTTTTGGTTTCGGAGATGGTGTAAGGAGGAGGCACCGAGAGCTCGGGACTGTTCGTTTCGGTCCAGTTGCCATCAGCATCATAACAATCACTGGCTGCGAACTGTCGTATTTGGACCTCACCGTCATAAAGAGATATGCTGGTAATTTCGACATTGCCCCTCATAAAAAATGCTGTTGGCGGTTGAGTGGAAATGTTACAAGTGATTTCAAACCGGCGGTCGAGGTAGCAACCATCGCCTATGCCAAATGGGTATGGAATTGTGAGATTACCACAATGGTCAGGGCAGTCAGGCAGTGCCAGCTGAGTCGGAAGGAGAGATCGAGCTGTTGTTGGAGTTGGAGTTCCTAGTAAAATTGTAACCACCATTACTAAAGAAAGATGCAAAATATGCATCCTCCTATGTAACGCCATATAGTATTAACTAAAAAGGGTCGAGCAGATCCTAGCAATAGCAGAGAAAATCCAAGCAGGTGATGGATCCAAGAAATTAAGGAACTGCTAATGAAGAAGGTTGGCCTTCTGTAGGAATATATTTATATGGAAGGGATTAAAACGCGTGGTGGAATATTTTGGGTTGGGGGAAAATGTGTCCCTACTCTTAATTGTCTGTTATTGTTTTAGTCCACAATTAGGCTTTGTCCCATTTATTTCAAGGAAATGCACAAGAAAACATCCATCTGACTTAGTATTAGTCATTAGTCGATACGTGTTGCCTTGAGCATGGTTGGCCTTCTGTAGGAATTAATATAAATGTAAGGGATTAAAACGCATGGTGGTATATTTTGTGTTCCTCATCTTGGCTGATTAATTTGTCTGTTATTGTTTTAGTCCACCATTAGGCTTTGTCCGGTTTATTTCCTGGACGAGCACAAGAAAATATCGATCTGACTTGGTACTAAATTTATAGACTTGTTCACGCCTTTTGGACGAGAATAAACAACTGCCTTTTACAGTTGTGTCGTTTGATTTGAATACAAACTCATAGTTATCTGAAAATACACACACACACACACACACACACACACACACACACACAAGGATTGGATTAATTCTGAGATCCCAAGGTCTCCGAGCCCTTGTCTTAATTGCTCTAATCATGGACTGCATCCTAATCCATACCAAACTCTTTTAATCTATACTTAATTCAATACGCTGAGTCTACTTGTGTAAGACTTATAATTTGAAATCTGCAAAAAACTAATCCACGAGTGCAGATTAAAATAAACTCATGGTTTTTTCCATTCAAAACTCCAACATAGTCTTGCCGAGCAGCGAAAATTTTGGTCTCAAACGGTTCTCTGGTCTTTTTGTTGGTTGCCATGAGAGCTTCCATATCTGCCTGCATTTGTTTGACTCTACACTTTAGGTGGGACATCTGATTAATTAGAATTTGTCTGAGTTATGTTTGTTACAAGTTTAATGATCAACGAAACTAAACAACTTTTCATCAGGAATTATTGTAAAATAATGCGGTTTCATTTGCGTACCACATGGTTCTTTTTTCTTTCTTTTTTTTCCTTCTCCTTTCTAATATAGATTGTACCTTTACATGACCAAACAGACATGCGAGAGAGAAGCAAAGACAGCCGCTGAATATTTGACGTTAGGAAAAAGAGATTTTTGCAATATCGTTGTGAAGTTACGTATGTGGGAGAAAAAAGTGAATGTGAATATCACTTCTTGCTAATTAACCTACAACACTTGCAAGTGTATTACTTATAAGAGAGATGTGCGACTCGGAATTAGTATATGACATTAATCTTTGAACCTTCTAGGTAGGGAGAATTTTTTTCTAGTTTTCCGTGTTCAAACGGATACTCCACGTATTATAAAATAAGTAGAAAGACAAAAAAAATATGTTAATTTTCTCCAACTTATAATATGATATGTAAAATACTGCTTAAATACTCCATACTTTAAAAATAAGTAGGAAATCCTCACATCCTCATATAGAGTGAGGAGCATGCATTAGCATGAGTTAGTCGGGGGTTTGGAAGATTCAAACTATGACATTGACAGGCTCCTTAATTCTGGTCCAATCCTTTATTTTATTTTCTTCCATGCTTAACAAAAAATCAGGCACTGAAATTTGACATTGAAAACTTTAGATATTGAAAACCTCCAACATAATAACAAGAAATTTCGTTTTGCCATAATTGCAAGTCATTTGGACATAAGAGAAATGCTAAAAAAAAACTCTTTCAAAAGAGAATTTCTATGACTTTTTTTTACACTTTATATTTTTGGAACAATGATTTATAATGTTAAAATAGAAATTTAGGTGAGATGGCAAAAAATCTATAAAATGTTAAGAATTTTACTTGAACATAAATTTGGATGACTTAATGGGCATGCAGATGCAAACCTTGACCTGGCAATAACATTTGGCTGTGGGTCTGCTGTCCCGGAATGCATGTTCCGTGTGTGTCTCCTTGTCTAATTTTTTAACATCTGTCCTTACATTTTAAAAACACTGACACTGTTAAGTTTTATTAAAACATAATAAAAAATTAAAAAATCTCGTCTTAGTCCCAGTTCATCGCAATCTTCTCCGTTTTAATTCTGTTAAGCTGGTTTGCTGCCATGGCCTCTTGGTGCTCCAAGTAGAAATCCACTCTTCCCTGAATTGAAAGCATAATATTTTAATTGATACCATAGAACATAACTGCTCCGTCAAAGACGAAGAGCCGTCACTCTAGCTATCAGGAACAAGCATTTTCTTCGACACAGCAACCGCTAAAGATGGCATATCAGAATCATAGAAGACTTTCCAGCAAAGATCTTCCCTACAAACGCACAAAACCGACTTAAGCAGTGCCTTTCTTTCTAAAATTTTAATCTTTTCAACAAAAATTCAATTCAAAACCTCACAAACCCAGATTATGCAATATGATCAATTGCAATTTCAAATCGAATCTAATGTTTGACGATATCATTTAGATTCATGAAGTCGTCTTTCCAGACTCTGTTTTTTGGTGGTATGAAGAAGGCGGCGGCGTCGGTCAACTAGGTCAGAAGACGAGACAGATTTTTTACTGTTTTTTTAATAAGAATTAACAGTGCCAATGGTTTGTTAAGTGTAAAGACATGTGTAAAAAAAAAAAATAGACAAAGAGGCACAAACGGGACATGCATTACGGGACAGCAAATCCACAGCCATAACATTTGGTTAGATAAAACGCGTTTTGGTGTAGGTTGCATTTATATATGTGAAATTTTATTTAAACTCATGTAACTTTTTATTATTTAAACCCTCTATATATACACACACATGGGTAGCTTACTAGCTTGGCTAGGGGAATGCAGGAGCCAAACTTTATATCTCTACTAATGAAAATGGTTCCCTTCCTTGTATTGCTATTGTTATCATCAAAATTAATTGTTGCCGATGTTTCAGAAGATCCAATACACAGTTACCCTCCCTCTCTCTTATCTCTCATGTACATTAAATTATTGTTTTGGCTGTTTGATACTTATTTTGTTTTTAATTTTAAAAGAACAAAATACTGAAAGTTTTTTTTTTTTTAAATTTTTGGCGTTATTAATATATGCTTTGATTTCGGTTTCAATTTTCAATTTTTTTTTAACACTTACCAAACAAGTTTCACAAAAATAAAACTGAAAAACTAAAAATTTAAAATTTAAATGGTTGTTGAACGAGCCCTTAACAAACATCTAGTCATCTGTAATGATGAAAAGTTTCTTCTTTGTTATTGCAGAGGATACAGCAAGGAAGATGATCATCAGTAGGTCACATCTGCAATGGAGATGATTTTGGCAGGAAAGGTCCAATAGAAGTACCAATAGGTTCTAAACCACCGGGATCGGGATAATAGCTATAATAATGTGTCGCTGTTGCGTTCTCTCCTCTCTTTTTTCCCTCTCATGTTCTCCCCTCCTATTTGAACGGTTACGTTTAAGTCACGTCAACATCTTATATTTTCTTATTTTATAAAAATGTAAAGACAAAATAGAAAATGTGAGAGGAGTGAATGAAAATGGATGGAAAGAGGAAGAAAGAGAATCATAGTTCCTCAAACAAATCCTTAATGCTAGTTCAAAAGTTGAAAAACGAATATGAATGGAAGAAAAAGTTAAATCCAAAATAAGAGTTGTTACCTACTATAATCTTTGTGGGAAAAAGGGGTGCTAAAAAAAGTTAAGCAAAAATGTTGTTCTCATTAACAATGTTAGGCATGATTTTAAAAAGCACTAGGCACTAGTCGAGTGACGAGGAGTGACCTAGCACCTAGGCGATTTTATAGTTTTAATTTTATGTTACATATTTACTTATACTGAAAAAAATACATAATTGTGATGGGATATATAAATGAAAAAAATAGAATGACATATGGATCAAAAAGTATTTGAAAACATGGGGAACAAGCATATAATGAGTGTTCATCTAAGTATTCAACAAATTTTTTATAATTTATTAAAAATTAAAATATAAAATGAAAGTTATCTATTTTTTGTTTAGGGGGGGCCTAGTCAAATCTAGGGGCTCATTCTTAATTTTCAAACTCCTAGAAATTAATCAGGACGGTGACCTCCTAGTGGAGATTTTTATAACAGTGATGTTAGGCATGCTGTAGCTAAATTTCATGCAGCTTTTCACGTACAAATGTTTAGTAAGTTCACAGAATAAAGAAAAACACTTTAAACTCAACTGTAGTATAAATTTACAAGGAGTGAAGGGAGAGTGGTCACAGAATAAAAAGAGAGATACGACATTGAGGAATTTACATGAGGAAAGATCAAACATTAATAAGAAAGATATTTTAGATTTCATGAGATTTCTACATAATCTTCTTTTAGATCTCATAAGATTTCTACATAATCTTCTATATCTCATAAGATTTCTACATAATATTTACTTATGATTTACACAGTTACATTCTTAATTAAATTAGAAATGCAACAAATTTTACCAAATAAAAAAATCTATATTTTAGAAAGAAAAAACAGACAATTACAAACCTAATAACCGTCGGAGTATTAGCACTACATTGATATAAAAACGAAAAAATAAAGAAGAAAAAACAACTTGTAGTTAGACGTACGCAAAGATGACGAAAGCAACACGAGGAACATGAACACAAATACCCTTAAGGTATCCATTGGTGGCTAAAATATGTTCGATCGATATCTTTTTTTTTCCTCTTCAAGTTTTTATGTGTGACTGAAACTTGTATGTGGTCTAAAATCATAGTAAATAGGGTGTTAGATTTCTACACATGTGTTCGATTTCGGAACTCCTCCTTTTTAAAATTATTGTAATAATTTCAAACTCTCTCCCTTCCTTTTAATAATAATAAAAAAAAATGTGTTAGTAAATTTCTTTTATTCAATGTATGCAATGGTAATTAACAACTATATCTCTCTATGTATACAAGTCATTTTCATAAAAAGTGACCACGCCTGAGGATGTGAGGAATGCCCCACACAACAAAAGAATACAACCATGATGAAAATGACTTAATATGTTGACTAATTTGCTCTGACACTCTAAAAAAAAAAAAATTGATTTCATCATAAAATTAATTAATAATATATAGTAGATGGAATTTGACATGCAAAATCGTAAAATTCCAGTTGTACT